CAGGATCCCCCGGCCTCGAGCCCCTTTCAGACCACGTAAAGGGATGTGTTTTTTCAGGTCATCACACACAGTGTGCCGCTTGGACATTTGCACCCCCTGCGGGTCTCAGCGCTCCCACCCCCTGACAGCCCGCGGGGAAGCCAGCGCTTTCCCAGGCGCCTCTTCGCTGGCAGCAGGGTGCCTGCTTCCTGCTCGCTCTGACCGTTTCCTTAGAAAGCGCCGCTGAGCTTTGTCCTGGGGTTCCCTTTGTGTGCCCTTCTGTCCCCAGGCTGTGGAGGTGGGAACGGTCTGAGCGCCTGAGGCTGGGGGGGGCCGCAGACCCGAGCCCGCCGCCGACCAGCCCTGAGGCTTTGGTTAATTTTTATCCCCGGGATCCCCGCTCCCCGGTGAGATCACCAGGTTTTCTAATTCACCTGGCGAGTGAATCACCGGAGGCCCCGGGTCCAGCGCTCAGGGAGGGAGGGGCAGCTGAGGCCGAGTCAGCGCCTGAAAGGAAACCAGACCTGGGGCGGGAAACCAAAAGCAGGTGCGCCCAGGGCGACTGACGACCGGTGACTTCCCCGCAATCCCGGAGGCGCTCACTGTCCCGCCCGGGCCTGCGCAACCCCGGGAAGCTTTACGCTGCATCCTGCGTGTGTGACGACGTGAAAAACACATCCCTCTGCGTTTCCAGTCACGTCCCTGGGATGGGACAGAGGGCGGCCAGGCCGAGGTCTGAGCCTAACACTGTCGGGGGGTTGCCTGTGAAGTTCCACTCGGGGCAGGTCCCTTCACCCGCCTCACCCTGCGCACGCATCTGGGAAGCCTGGGTGTTAGTGTCGAAGGCACGCGGGCGTTCTAAGGATTGAATGGCATGAGCACGTTAGCGCCGCCGGGGGGGCACACGGGGTTAGGGTTATCCGCACTCGGTGGCGGCGGGCGCTGGGCGCGGGCGGCGCTCTGCCTGCCAGACTTATTTGACACCTGGAGGCGCCACGTCACCTGGGGCGTAAGGGACTGAGCCAGGCCATGAGGACTTGCAATGCCGCTCAGCAGCTGACCACGGTTATCACGCTGGCCCATTATTATTTCTCTTTTTGTGGTTGCTAATCTGAGGGCATTTCTTCCATTGATTTTTAGAGAGAGAGGGAGGGAGGGAGGGGAGAGAAACTTCAACAGGAGACAGACACATCGACCGCCTGCCCCCCGCGCTCGCCCCGACCGGGCCCGGAGTTGAACCCTCGGCCCCGCAGGGCTTGGGCCGAGGCTCTAACCACTGAGCACACCGGCCAGGGCTACTATTATGTCTCCCGTCTGTTCAATCCGGGCGGTTTCTTCTGTCCATTCATTGATTCGTTGGCTCGTTCACCGAGTCATCCATTCAGCATTCTTTCCTTCCTTCCTGCTCTCCTTCAACAAGTGTTTAATGGCAGCCTGGTACGTATCAGGGGAAAGATTAATATACATGAAAAATGGAAATAAAATCAGCAAGTTGAAGTCGTGCTCCCCCCCCCCCTCGCAAAGCGCGCAGGGCAGCCGC